GAGTCCAGGAGTCCTTAGTTGATAGAATGCGGAAAACCTCTAAATTAGATTATTCTAGGTTTTGAAGTTCAATTGAAATTCAAAGTCAACACAATTTCAGTAAGAAAAAATTTTGAATTTTGGTACTGGGTCTGGTTATATACCCTACTCTCTGGACATATATACCATCTTAAAGTTTTTTCTAGTCTAACTAGTTTCTCTGTATTCCAACCAACCAATTTCTGAAAGGACACAACATTGCAGCCTTGTCTCCTTTTCTCTAGACCCTAGGTTTAGCCTAAGACGTGATAGCTGGAATATACACAGAATGAAAAGCTTTCTTATATTTGAATATAAACCCAAAGTAACAATGAAACCCTGCACATGCTTATCTATTTCTTAAATTACTTTTTTCCTATTATCCAAGTATTTCATGTTTATTGTGGAAAAACTGGCTAAAAGTCACCCATATGCCACTGTTTATCACTGTTAAATTCCTCAGATCTTATACAATATTCACATATATCATAGATTGTGTAAAGTAACTTTTTCATCAGCTATTATTACTCATGTATGATAGCTTAATCTTCTAAGTTCAGGCAAGATAAGTGGCTTCATAGCTAACGGCCAGGCTGAGTGCCAAAAAATAGTGTTTCAGCGCAAGGAACCACACAGAACTCCATTCCAGCCAGGACTGGCTATGGATTGTCCTAGATACGAAATGAGAGATAGATTCTTCTGTTGCTGAAATGAAGATAAACTGGAAAATTCTATTCCTGCAGAGTAAACCTTGTAATAGGACATTTCTTCCTGATGAAAAGATTATGCTAAGGGGAAAGAAATTACATGTAATCATAGGAAACTGTTTCTTTTGAATTCTTATACTCTTTCATGTACTTGTATGGATTGTTTTAAGGTATACTTAGCAGATAAAGTTCTATGCTAATTTCTACTCCTTTTTAATTTCTTAAAAGTTTAACATTTCTCAAGCTACCCACCTGTTGCTTTATATAAAGTCTCTTGCACCCAAGAATGACAAACTTGGCTGTATAGAGTTGTATCTCTTTATTAAGAATCTGAAAATGTTAGTGGTGGAAGATTTTAGAGGTCTAGACCAAGTTGTAAATCGTAATTGTTAGATTTTCTTACAGAGTAAACTGTGGATCAATATGATAAATGATTTCCCTGAATTTTAGAGTAGTTTTGTCCATAATCCAAGTCTACCAACTTTCCAAATTAAAGAGCACTCTGTACTCTCTTAGAGGTTAGCTTCAAAATGAAAGTATCCACAGGTGGCTTATCATAATGATGAACAGGTGTTGGTGTCTTTTAGACGTGGTTGGGATAGTGGTTCTTCCACTTCGTGTGTATCACTTTGAATGAGAAATCTACTGAGCCTGTTTCCTAATTTTCAAATAATATATTCAGGTTCTAGGATCATGTTTATATTTTGCATATAAACATTTTCTCAAAGGATACAAGATCGCCCTTCAAATAAATAGGACTAATTTTCACACGATCAGATTCTAAAAATGTTCTATTAATTTTTACAGATGTACATTCAGGGAAAATTACTATTTGCCAACTTTATTTTCAATGGTTATAGCACATCTGCTGAAGACCTTCAAAAACAAATTGTGAAGACAAGGAGCGATTATCACATGGGATATTTCCTACCTGATGACTTCAAAATCCGGTAATCACACACATTCTACCTTATCTCACACTTTTAATTAGCAAATTCCAGATAAGGGCCACATTTCAAGAATAGCCTTTGAGTATTTATTCTTTGCTTCAAATCTTTTCTGAAAAGAAGTAGCTTATTTATTTAAAAGTTCAGTTTAAGGAAGGCCACTTTCTCTTTAACTAGTGAATATTCCCAAGACTGTGAGCTAAGCTTAAAAAGATTCAAACCAACAATTCAATTACATAAGACAAAGTCTGATCCAATGCATGTTAACTTCCTTCTTGGTTCAGTATTTCTTTTCTGTCAGGGAGGTCACATAAGTCAACAAATTTAACATGATTAGAATATATCCAATGGCTGACACTCACTTTGAATGGTGAAAATGGAGCTTTTAAACTTAATCTGCTGTTTTCACTGATAAATTACCATGTGAGGGCACTTGAATAACCAAACAAACCTTAGACTGATGAATCCAAACCTTTTTTAGTCAACTCCTGTATTCTGAAAAATACTATAATAGAAGAAAAAGAGGGACAAAACAGAAAAATAATTTTTACCTTTGGCTAATTAGTGCATGTTGCAAATACCAGAATAAAAAAGGTACACACACAAAATACAAAGAAGTACAGATTTTATTAGAGACTTCTTAAGCTTAGAATGAACAATAATACAGATACATCCAAACCTACTGTTGGGTTCTTTTAAAATTCTTTAAAACAGATGACAAAAATTCAATATAATAAAATACATAAAGCTACGAAAGAAAGTATTTTGTTAAAAAAGGGTATAATCTCAAGTCTTCAGGAAGGGTAGGAAATGTATAGTTCTACTACATAAAAACATAAGTAGTCAGAAAGTAAAAATTAAACTATCTCTGAAAGAATATTCTCAATGATAATTTTAAGAATACAGTTTAATATGCTGAAAGTCTTACATGAAGGCGGACTTTAGAAACTTATTATGTAAACAAGCCTGAACTGTGTAAGACATTTCATAAATTCCTATTTTTAGTGTTCATATTTAATGATGTTAAGAGTGCAAAGGCCCTCCAAATACTGAGAACGCTTACTTTACATAAAAATAACGTGGGTTTCATGCATTTCAGACTATGTGAAGAAATACAGTTAACTATGCTCACAGATTAGTGCACTGATAAAAGATTACTGATGTTAGAACATTTTCATATTCGGGTGGATACAAAATGTTATAATTCTGGAAGAAACGGATTATAAGGCTCACCTATTTAATTCTAGATAGTGTATTAGAAAAACATGAATGAGAAGAACTGAAGCATAAATTAAGATTGAACTCACGAGACAAAAAAAAAAAGCATTTAGATTATTTGGCTTTAAAAAGAATCAAAATCCAAAGATCATTAGATCGCCTACTGTTATCAAAAGAAATATCATGTGCACATAGTAGCATATATAGTGTTTTGACGTAAACAGAAAACACTATGTAAAAATGAAAACCCTGAGAGAGAAAGGTAAACATAATACATTTAAAAAAGCAAAAATAGTAGAATCCATGGGGTGAAGCATCTCTGTAATGAATGTAACAGAGCTAATCCCAGGATTGAGTTCTTCAGAATGAGCTCACAGTCCTACTTTAAAAAATAACCCACTGACCCAATTCTTCTGGTGTGACAAGGCTTGGAGGATTAGCAGTTTGGGCTCCTTTCACATGTGGAGTCCCTGATTAGTCTGCAGTTAATTTCAAACAGGGTCTAAACCTGTTGAAATGCCAGTATTACCAAAAGTATACATTTTCATTGCGTATCCTAACCTTTGGATTTGGGGTCTTTTCATGCCTTTTTAGAAATCCTATCCTCAAAATTAAACAAAAACATGCATGTGGCTATAACTATGTTATAGATTTGACGTGAGAACTGCAGGGAACGAAAATCAAGAAACTTACTAAAAACCAAAAAGTATTTTACAAAATACTTTTGTAAAATGTGGGACATTAGCTTATTTATTATACTCTATCATCCTAGCTTATTTTCATCAACCATAGCAGATTTTAAAATGTAGCTTACAATGAGTCTAATAAGGGACAGTATGTCTACCAATGATGCTAAAGGTTCTTCCCAGGTCTGAACCTCAAAAAGCAAGTTCAAAGCAATGTGGTGGATTTAATAACAGATTAAAAGACAAAGGCAGTCTCCTGACACTAGAGTTTAAAATTACTTAAAATTACTTAGCATTGGAGCCAGAGGGCAAAGACCAATACCTTTCAGAAACTATGAATGATTAGTTAAATGAGACTGATACAATATTGTTGCGTAGAAAGTCTTCTGAGAAAAAAAATAAAACAAAACCCCCCCCAGAAATCATTAATTTGGGGGAGAATTTTTTTGGCTAAGCTGTTTAACTTAAAAGTAGACATCTGATAATAAAAGTTACAAGTACAGTTCTCACTGGCAATTAATAACCATATTATATATCACATTTCTGTTGTGATAAAGTAATATAATGTCAAAGTCTGATAAAGCTTTATCTTGTTATCCATTATTATCCCTCTAATTTTAGAAGAACTAACCAATTCTTGTTAAAATGTAGGCACACATATAAAAATGTGAGTCTCAGTGAACGTAGGACGTCTGAAGCCTCAGGTCATCTTCAGTCTTCACACTCTTGATGTTCCAGGAATGATGCGCGAGTTTAGGTTGGTTCTAGGATAGGCCCAGGGGCCTGGTTTGATCTGGGATCCCTGGGACCATACCTAGAACAAACCCAAACAAAACCAAACGCCTTGGGAGTGCTTTCAGCTCAGGTAGACTTCTGGGCTTTTCACTCACATGGGCCTCCAGGGCTGTACCAGGACCATACGCCAATCTTTAAAGAATGGGAGTAACGTTTCTGGAGCTTTCTGTACGTTGCCAGATACCTGTACTGTGCCTGAGTAAGCATTATGTGAGTCATAGTACGAACAGAAGGTACTACAGGTTGGTGTAATAAAAGTGCAGAGAATACTTTGATTTGGAAATGGAGTTAATTAAGAATTTACTTTGGAGGAAATAAGAATATGTAATTTCTTAGGATATAAAAGAATAAACTTATAAAAGCCATGTTAGTTTTAGGAAAAAATGACAAACTCCTTTGTAGGTAGCTAACCTTTAGGAAATGCTACAAAAGTGAGAAATCCCAAGTCAAAAATGGTAAAATCATCCCTTATTTTGAGAAACTCAAGATATGAGAGAAAATATATATATTTCTACAACAATATTTCATAGAATATACCCACTTTTAAAGTGTAGTCAGAAGTATACACAACTTGCCATCCTATTGCAATAATATGTTTGATATGTGCCAAATGAAATTCAATAAGTAGGTATGAAACAAAGTAATTTAATGGCCGACAGTTAAAATATAGCATTAAAAATACCATATACATTTTAATTTAACACACATTTTAGGATATCCATTAAACCAACTCCTTATTCATGTCAAATTTTTGTGTAAGTGAATCCTGGAATGAATTTATCCTCTTTTTGGTTTACAGCAATTAATGAGTAGAATCATTTTCCTCCCACAACTATACTCCAAGAGAATTTTTCTTCTTTTACCACCAACCCAAGTTCAGCATCATGACTATCTGCTCTCTAATACCAGTATCAACTCAAGAAACTGTTTTGGATTATTTATTTTTTTAAATGAATATTGTATCATAACTCCCAGTAAGTGAATGACTGAAAGCTGACTATGATAGAGAGTCATAAAACAGACTGATTTTCCAATTACCCTGTATATTACGGAAGAGTCAATCAACATATAGTTATTAAAACACAATCAGCCTGTTGGTAAAACTAAGTTGTTAAATGCTAGGATATCCCCTTCCAGACAGATTTGAATTTTACTTACAAACATTAGAACATGCAAATTTCATGTTTATTTTTCATTTGAGAGAAAAATCATCATGCTTGATTACTTAACATATTAAATGATAATTTAAACATGCAAAATATAGAATGACAGTGGGAATTTAGTCATTCAAATATCTGTCAGTATCATTAGATCTAACACTAATAACTTTTGGCAAGATTTTAACATACAATTAACTGAATAAAAATAAAAATACTGTCTTAAAAACCTGCATAATCAAAGAATAAATTATTTGAGGTATAATTTCCTAGAGTCTAAAAACTTTATCACTTCTCAGTTCTCTATGATATCAATAATGAAATTTTTCTTATTTTCCAGGGCTCGACCTACTTCGTGTTTTGGAAATGAAAATATATTTCTCTAAAAACAAAACCAAAACAACAACAAAATACAACCTCACCAAAAGAATTCTTAGCAGCATGTGGTAGCCAATTCAAATAGAAAGTAGTATAGAAAATACTGATTTGAGTGAACTGGTTTTAATTGGAGCCCAAAAATTCGAGGATAGAAATACAGATAAGTATGAAAAGAAAGTGGTTCTTTTTGTACAGTAACAGCTCTTCTAATTTAAGAGCAGGTATCTAATCTAGTAACTTCACTCATTTTCAAGACAGCAATGAAATAGGTACTGAAGTAAGAGATGTCACAAAATCCATGCACTCAAGTATAATGCAACTTTTCAGGTCTTTACTGAGTCAATTTATTCTTACTTTATACATTATTCTAGCTGTCTTAGTCACTTTGTGTCCAAAAACCAAAGCGGACTAGAAGGAGCATCATGAAGATAGATAAAGGCTATTGCTACAGGCACACTTAAGCAAGCAGTAATTAAAATCAAAGGAATTAGAACTATTAGAAACAAAGACAAGAAAAAAAAAAAACCCTGCAGAATGAAGCCTTTTAGTAAAGGGGCATATAGCTCTCAATGCCTAATTAGTCTATCGCAGCATAATAAAAAAAAATTGTTAATGATGACCATTTTGACATCAAAAAAGATTAAAATGTATTCCATATATCATTTAAGAAGATAGCAAGGTACATATTAAGTTTTTAAAATATTTCCTTTAGAAATTATTCCAAAAAATTTTAATGCTTAGAGGTTTAAGCTCAATAGAAAACTGGGATATCTAGAATGACTCATTCCCCAAATAATTCAGTTAGCCATTTCTTACTAAATTAGCCATGCATGTTTAGTCTTAAACCAATAGTTCTAAAATATAAATTGGTGAACAGAATTGACGTCACATTTATAGTGCTGTAAGTTTTAAGTCTGTGTACTATACTAGGAACAATTATTAAGGACAAAATGTTGAATGTTTTCCTAAAATATACACAATAATTTAAACAAAGACGATAGTCAAATTTTCTTTTATAGCTAAATTCAATAATGGAGAGTCCTAGAAACATCAATATATAAAAACTGAATTAATACTTCAAATATATGGCAACGCATAGTCAACCCTGCATTTTTTTTTTTAGCAAGTTCTTCGTAAAGAACTAAGAGGCAAACGAAAGTATGCAGCCAAACAGGTACCACAAATCCATGCACTTTACTGACAGAAAAGCCCCTTAGCCTTCTTTCGGTCTACTTACTCTTACTTTAGACACAATTCTAGCAAGGTTGGCAATCCTGTTTCTCAGTCCACAGCAGATTAGAAGCAGCAAATTAGGGGCCTAGTGCAGGAGGCAAGCACACAAGACAGCAGCAAAAAGTGATAGCTGATTACAAGGGAAGACAGAGAAACTGTGAAGAACAGACATAACTCAAAAAAGCATAGCAATGCAGGATCACATAGTAAAGGGGCATTATATATCTCAGTAACCGCTTGAGAGTGCATTTCTGGTTATCACCCCATGAAAGGAACTGATGTTCTTAAAGAAGACAAAGAAAAAGTTAAAGTTAAATCCTAAACACTAGAAAAAGTGGAGAAGTAGAAAGTACATTTTAGAAAATTTCCTATTACACTGTTAAAACAATTTAATGATTAAACGAATTTGCCTCAATTACCTGAAAAATTAACTTATGCAGGTTAGTCATTCGTCAATTACGGGTAAATGGTTACTGTACTTAGGACACTTTCCCATATTTTCTCTTCTAAAATATTTGTAGCTTCATTTTCTAATATGTGTGAATTGCACATATATGTTCTTATAAACATAATGGGAAGAATAAATCAATCTTTATGCTTTGTCTGCTTGTCATTCATGGCATGATATGTACTTTAGTTCAAATAATGAATTAGCTGAGTTAGTCCTTGTCTTGTTTAGGTATGGAAACAATATACTATGATTAAGACAAATCAATTTAACTTTTCTTTCCACATGATTTCTAATACTTTATCAAACTATTTCATTTTATATTACTGATGGTATTTAAGTAAAACTCAGTTACCAGAGTGAAATGACCTCTAGGGTCCCTTCTGATTAACACTCTATTGATTGATAATTTTGTGAAATGTATCGGAACTTAATTCTTTTTATGCTTTAACACTGAAAGTTTTACCACTTTTATTATGTGAATCTGAATATTACTACTTATTTTTTAAGAAAATTGAGTTAATTTTTTCATCTATTTTACTAACATATTTATAACTAGATCTTGTTTTTCAGCCTCAAAGGTTTTATTTTTAACTACCTCGAGAAGTGAGAAATCAAAACATCATTTAGCAATCTGGAGAATTTGCTGGGAAAACTCTCCATGATGTTATTAGGTCAGCTGCACCCATAGGTTTTAAATGATGGATCTGGGATTTAAACGCATGCCCGTCCTTCTGTGTTAGACTTTTAAGCCCATATTCTTAAATTTCCTTAGTAATTTGCCTTAAATGTGTTTCTTTTGACTTGCTTGTCCCCAATAACTTCAGAAATCAAAGTTGAGTCAATGTATCAGTTCTTAATGAAATACATTCAGACACTTTAAATACAATTAGATTTAATAAGGACTTAACTTATGAAGTCAGATACTATGGACATTTGTGAAAATAAGGAGAGGACTGCAAATCAAAGACCAGCAAGAGTCTGGCCCTACAGAGTCCAGAAATGTAGAGTTTTAAATGAAAGCTAAGGAAAAAAAAGATTTAAGATGATAACTGTAGGCAAAGAGTAAAAGTCCTGTCTTCAAAACTGGCCTAAATAAATAGCCTCTTTCATGCATTCTTACTTTAAGTACTAGATTTAAAACAAACTATGGAACTATTAATATTAAAAGCTGTCAGGATATTATTCCTTAAAGCAATTATCCTGTCAGAATACTGCTGTAAAATTTGGAAAGCACAATTACAAGTTTTCCCAGAGAACTTCTTTTGGATGTGTGATGGCAGATATTGAAACTAGTCAAAAGCCTGATAAAACAAGGTGAAATATTCTTAGATAAGTAACAAAAAAGGATACCTACTTATATTACATTGACCTATTTGTTTTCTTTTCTAAGGTATTCATGGCAAGAAGCATAAAGTCCTAGAGAGAGGTTCTTAGATTTTACTGGGCATAAACATCACATCACCTAGGTCTCATTCCAAAATGATTGACTAGGAGGATGGCCCTAAATCTGCATTTTAAAGATAAGACCTCCAGTTTATTCTAATATAAGTGGCCCATGAAAAAAATAGAGAAACACTGACCTTTACACTATTATGAGAGAAAATTAGGAATTTTCACAAGGAAAGTAATATTTTATCTTGGAAATACTTTCAAAGATGAAAGAAATTTTGAAAACTACATACACCAAAAAAACATTCAATTAAAGTTCAAGATCCTTGTATCAAGATTTCACCAAGTAGAATTTTCATCAAACTAAGTAACAACTAGTGAACAAAACAGGTCAGACTGAAAGATTAGAAATTCCTGATTAAAATTTGTCTTTCAAAATTAGAAAGTATCACCTTAGAGAGCATTGGATAAAACTGATACAATATATTTCTCTCAAACTTAAAAATAAAATACCAAAATTAAAAATTATCAAACTCTAATTCTTATGTAAGGTTGTAAATGAGGTGGAGTGAAAGATTACCAAGTTTTTCCATAATTACTTCTAAATTCAAGGTAAAAAGGAGTTGGCAAACTAAATAACTAAAAAAAAAAGTAAACTAAAAGTTATTATTCAAGAATAGTTATAACACAAGATACTTTTTTCTTGAAATTTGGCTCATTATTTCTAAGTGGCAAACTAGGCCCACTTGTAGGTATTGCTCCTATATGCTTAACTATGGATAAGTCCCAGAATTTTTGGCAAACAGCAGAATCACTTATAATACAAAGGATCTCTACCATTCATATAAAGCAGAAACAAGTTTTTCCTCAGGATAAAAAATAAATTTCCTTACATTATTAAAAAAAATCCCCTTTGACATATGAAAATTTACTCACTTGTGCTAAGTTATAGAAATTCGAATGTGTTTCTTAACTCTAAAGATGATCTAAATTCATCATGTAATTTTTTGGGGGGGCAGCAGCATAAATTGAGTTATTCCTACATTTTCCCCAAATAATGTCTATACATTCTGTCAGTGCATAGGAGCTATAGGTTTCAAAAAATAATATACTCCTGAAAATATCACTATTTGAAAATGTAACCATAACACAAAACAGATGAGACTGGACAATTTGGAAAGCAACCTCTTTCAAGAGGTAGTTTGTAAATGAAGTATTAAGAAGACAAGGATGCTTTCCAGGAGGAAGCTGACAGGATGTTTCCAAAATCTTATTTAGGTGGAGAGGGTATAGCCTCAGTACAGAAATCAGCAGCACGGTGACCTGCTTGTGTTGATGGCACCAGTTATCTCTAGGCAAACTGATAAAAAGAACTTTCTGCTGAGTTGGGGATGAGGCCTTGGACCACAGGGATCCCATGGACTTCTTCTCTTTTAGTTGCAACAAGAACAGAAAAGATAAACACACAAAAAATTAAAAGGGTAGTTTCTAAAATGGTACAATGGCTTTCTTTAAAAGATCATTAGGAAATCTTAAAATTAACTACTGAATACACTTATGAACAAAGAAACATAAGAAACAAATCATAAACCAAGTACTTTTGAAACTACTTTTTAGTTCCACACCCCAGTACACATCAATTGCATGAACTCATTGTTTTTTTATTCAGAACCTGTATCTTTGTTTTAAGACTTGGTATAAACAAAAATAAAATACAAACAACTTGTTATTAACATAATAGCTGCAGTTATTAACTGTGAGAATACAGTAAAAAGGAGTCATACTAAATGTTAATGTTCTTGCAACAGAATTATCCCAGTCATTTTATGGTATCAAATTCTGGCAAGAAATGATAAATTCATTTGTTATTAAAAGTACTTAAAGAATTTCCAAGATCAATTGGTTGTGCTGCAAATAAAACAGCAATTTATTCAAAAGAGCCCTTACCTTTCTCTTTCTCTTATTTTCCTAAAAGATCTGCCATACAGGTAACTACTATTTTGGATCAGTTGTTCAAACCAGGGTTCTTCCTGTAAATTCACATCTTAGCTTTATATATAGTAAACTTACACGCATTTCCCCTTTCCAGTGGAATATCTAGTCTTGAAGCTAAAACACTTTCATAAAAGGAACAATTTAAAATCCTTCATGTAAATCTTGGTTCTTATTTTTCTTCTACCTCATTTTTATTTTCTTGTATTAGTAGTTCTTCCTCTTCATCACCAAAAGTCTGTTCCTGCATAGTGGTAAAGGACAGAGATCTAGCAGCCACTTCGGCAGCGAGGCCAGCAGTGAAGGTAAAATCTGGTGACAGCTGCAGCCGCGCCAGCCTCTGCTTAATGGAGGGCTGTGACGAGTCCCTGGGAGTCAGATGGGCAGCGGCCAGGCCACCAACAACTGCCTGCTGAGAGTCCTCTTCATTGTCACATTGGTAACACATTCTTTCTTCGGCTCCTTGCAGGAAGGCTTCATTCGCAGAACTGTCTTTACTTTTACCATCTAGAGGGTTTTCACATAAATATTCAGTCCTACTACTTATTCCATTGTCAATTGTGGAGGGTTTACTGTTTTCTTCTTCAGTATCATTTTTACCAATTTTTATCATTTTCCCCATATCTGAATCCATTGATGGTTCTGAATTACTTATGGGTTCCACTGGGTCTACAGGAGACAAGGATTTCAACACAGCTTCGAAGGAGAAAAATAAAAAAAGAAAGGAAGAAAGAAAGAAAAATAACTAAGGACCCCGCGATAATATAAACTTCTTGTAGTTTCTTTTCTTATACAGTATAATAAATAAAGGCTAAATAAAACTTTCTAGTAAAATCAATGTAAATTTATAAATCCAGAACACCTTATGAGATAAAATGCCCTCAAAATAAAATGAGATGGAGTTTTAATGAAGATTTAAAAACATCTCACATATTTTCTTATTCGAAATATTAAAGCGGTGGTTCTCAAAGTGTGGTTCCCAAACTAACAGCATTATCTAGGAATTTGGTAGAAATGCATATTCTCAGGCCCCACCCCAGACCCACTCAATTGGAAACTGGGAGTGGGGACCAGTTATGTTTTACAAGCCTTCCACTTTGTTCTGATGCATACTAAATTTTGAAGACCATTGCATTAAAGAATAAGCAGCATGGTTTTCATTGATAATATGTCAGATACAGGGCCTAAAAATATCTAGATAATAATCGTATTTTCAACACATATATATTTACAAATTAAAATAGCATAGAAAACAAATGCAACATACAATCTGACTTACTTGCCAACCACCTAAAGAGACCCTGATGAAAGTAAAGCCATAACTTCTACACACTTTGTAATGTCACATAAAAATATAAAATAAAATCTGCATTCAAGATCAACTACTGTACAAAGCATAATACATAAATATGATATATATCCATACGGCAGAAGTTGTCCTTTCAAGGAAAATGAAGTTTTATTTAGCCCCTCTTGATGTTAGTAGGCAGTGGGTTGCTTGCTAGGCAGTCTCTCCTCCCAGTATGAGGGGTTAGTACAATACAATATGTTATGAAGCATGGCGGAAGAAAAAAAAAGCACGTCTTGAAGTTCTGGCGTTTATTTAAAAAGTAATTTTGTAAAATGTGTCCATTTTCAAGAAACAGATCCCTAAGCTGCAGCATCTCCACTAGAGAAGCAGCAGCAACAGAAAAAAATGGCCACAGCAGGTTCCAGTGTAGAGTTTCCCTCTCTAATTCCATTCGGACTTTACCCCTGTAGGCAGAGATGAAAACAACTCTGGAAGATGTACTGAACATTTTCATGGGAAAAGCATTTTATGGTATCAGCAGCTTTTTACTTATTTTCACAAACTAAAGCAGCATTATTGCTCTTTCAAATGTAAACTATCAAAAGCACATACCTGGAAAAGAGACACATCTGTCATCGTTTTATCTTTGCCCGTACTGTCAATAGGATAATTTTAAAGCTACATGATGAAATACTAAACAATAAAAAAGGATATAAATTTATATACAATGCTATTTTCAGTCTTCATGTGCAGTTTTAATCTATAAATCTTCTAGTTCTTAAAGAATGCAACATATATTAAAAGTTGATTTGATATTCCTGATGATTGCTAATTAAATGAGGGGACACAATCCATGTAATGAGTCAACTGACATGTGTTAACACTGTGCTAGACTATAAGACTCCGGGAACGTAGGGATTTTTGTCTCTTGATCTAAGTGTTAAGGATACAGCAGTAAACGGTACCTTAATAACTACTTGTTGAATGAATAATTTGCTGAATGAATACTGTGGAGGATAACAAAGCCCTTAAGGAGACTATAATTTAATTACAAAGACAAAAAAAAATTCAAATGCAAAGAAAAACAATAGTGCCTAAAACCTAATACTCTTAATCTCTGATTTATGTAGGCCCAATATATAAACAAGCATATTACAGGAGCTCTATTTTTACTGCTGCTTCTAGGAGGCTCCTAATCTCACGTATGCTTTGCTGCCCAAGACTTCATTTCACTACAGTGCCTCTCTGGTGTGAGGGTCTGCAGTGGTAGGAAGGGCAGCAGGGCTGGAGTTGTCAGAGGAGGAGTCACAGAGGAGAGAGGCTGACTGGGAGAGAGGACAGCTTGGTGGAGAAGACAGAATTCTTGGTAAAGGAATCAGCATGAATGTTTTTCATGCATAAAAACAGTAAGTGTGTAGACATATAGTCTAATTAGATAAATATAACTATTTCTAGTATATTTCTATACTAGAAATAGTGGGAAATATAACTGGATATGATGAACTCATATGATGGATAGGCTTGAAACCAGGAAAAGAAGGTTAGATTTAATACAATAAAAAAGGGGGCACCACTGTAGGTTTTTAAGATAAAGAGTCATTATCAATGTGCTATTTGAGAAAAATCTGGAAGGAGTTTGCAAGGACAGAAGCTCTCTTAGAAGCTTAGAAGCTATCTTCTAAGCATAGCTTGCAAGAAGGTATTGAGAATGGAAGTCAGCTAAGAGGCTATTATAATACGTGAGTATAATCTAATAAAGGGCACCAATGGGAAGAGGAACGATAAAATCAAGAAATGCACAAGGGAAAATGGTAGGGCTCCTAAGAGAAGAAAAGAGAATCTTGAGGAACTTTCCAGAAGTATAGGTAATCTATATATTTCTAATAAAAAAAAAAGAAAGGGCAAAGAAGGCAGTTGATTTTGAGGCTCCACATAAATACTCTAAAATGAAAGGGAAGTCCCACTCTTCACCTTCTGAGAAATCCATAATTCCTCAACTAAGAATTAACTAGTTTGATACTGTCAAGTACTAAGCTTTCCAGCCATTCCCTCCCCTGCCTCACCTGAAGTTTAACTAAAGAAGGGTGGGAAACATAAAGAAGTTTAAGACCAACTTTGTCCAAATCTAAGTATGGAGACAGTGTGCGCACAAGCACCTCCTCTGCTCCCATCTATTAAAGTGCTCAAATTCTTTAAGTAACCTTAATGATGTAGCTAAGTAGCCTAGGTCTTGATTAATTTCTTTCAATAGTGAAGTTATTAATCTTGTGTTTTACTGAGGTATTTATAATATCAACATAAAGAGAAGAGAGGTTAGTGAAAACACTCTGATTTATTCAACTCACTGCCCATTCCAAAACAAATTTAATAAAAAATCAAATAACTGATGAAAAGTATGATTTCATATTCTCAGTTTGATTATATACCTATTCTTTTACTGATCAAATTGATTTTGTCTAGAAGAAAAAGTACTATAATTACTGATGAATCCTTAAAATTATAGCCATAAGAATTCTACAGCTAAAATAAGATTCACAGTTAAAGAAAAAAGAATCCCCTACATTGAAATAACCTTTTACTCTGAAGTCAGTCCTTACCGTGATCACTAAATAGAAGTTGCTTCCACTTTTGCCTTTCTGCCTCCGATGCTTTGAATCCCAGCACAGATTTTAATTCTTGGAGTACCCTCTTGGATTCTTCCTGCTCATGCTTCTGTCTCTCTCTGTCTTCTTGAGACAAGTAATAAAAATCATCCTTTATGATATCATTGTCCATATCTATATCATCTACATAAGCTTCTAATTCCTGAAAATGAATAAAAGAAAAAAGCACTTTACTAGAAGCAGATAATTTTCGAGTAGTATTCATTTACTTGTACAGGGCTGGTGGTCTGGGGAGGTGGTCAGGTATGTTTAGTCTTCTTGTGGTAGACATCTGTGATGCTTTCGACTTCCCAGGAAGTTTGAACACTATACATAGGATTGGGGAACACCTCGTCAATGGGTCTCTATATCGCCACGGCAAGGGGCAGGAACTTTCCTTGCCCAGCCTCCTTTGCAGTTATGGTTCAAGTAAATAGCTTGGGATTCTCTAATTAGATGCACCTGGATCAAATCTGATTCGGAAGTTTGTTATAAAAGAAGCAGGCATCTTGAGGAATCCATTCTGGTAAGGATGGTGGCAGATCAAGGTTCCAGAGGTAGCATTCAGGGAGCAAGTGGCAATGTCTGCACCCAGTGACTTAGCAATGATGTTGCCACTGATGCAGTTCTTTTGAGTGATTTTAGCTCTTTACCCCAGCCTGGTTCGAGCCTGATTATCTGGCCCTCTGAAATATTCTGTCATCTATCCAATGTTTTAAACAATTTTTCTTGTTTGTTGGTCTCTCTTTGCAATTAAGAATACTGAATAGACTATATGACCTCAGGAAAAGAAGTTTTCCTTAGGATGAACAAAAGAAATCTTTGTCACTATCTAATGCAATCATTAAATTTGTTTTTGAAAGTGAGGTATAACATACATGCAGTCAAATGCACAAGATAATTGTACAAGATTTTTACATATGTATACGTGCTCGTAACCACCACTCAGATCCAGATAAAAACATTTCCAGCATCCCAGAAAGTACTTTTGCCAAGGCAGTAACTTTTAATGTGTTTAATCACTTTTAAGTGTCTAAGAAATGGAGAGTTTAAAATAATAAGAAAGTCTGCTTGTATATTCAATGGATTAAAACTCAAGACATAAGAAATAATGATTTGATATAAATTCGGTAAGTTATCTTGTGATTTTGAAGCTTATTAGAAACATAACTTCAACACTCATTCAATTAACCATGTTACTTACAGAGAAAGGTAGGTAAGCTTTGTAAAATAAATTTTCTTTAGGGGAACAAAAAGCACTTTTCAGCCTTACCTGCTCCTCAGGGATTGGATCTCTGTCTGCAATGTGCAGAGTAGGCTGCATCAAAGGTGCCACCGTACAGCGTGGGTTTTCACATGCTGTATCAGGCTTGCCTTAAAAAGAAACAGGCCACACAGAAATGAGTACCTAATTAACAACGAAATTATAGAATGGTCTACCACCTGAAAACATTTACTTATGTTGCCTCTTTATACCCTATTCCTCCCTCCATATCCAACTCCTAGTAGCCACTGATGTTTTCTGTTCCTAGGATTGTAAAAATTAATTTTACTGTTTTAAGAATGTCATATAAATGGAATCATATAGTATGTAGTGATTTAAGTTTGGCTTCTTTCAATAAGCATAGTGCATTAGCGATTCCTCCATCTTATTGATGTATTAGCAGTTCATTTCTTTTTATTGCTGAGTAGTATTCCATTGAATGGATGTGACAATTTATTCACCAGCTGAAGGACATGAGCTGCTTTTAGTTTTTTAATGATTATGAATAAAGCCATTAGAAACATCCGTGTATAGGTTTTTGTGTGAATATGAAGTTTTTATATCTCGGGTAAATATCTAGGAATGATCTTACTGGGTTATATGATATGTGTATGCTTAATAGTGGGAAAAATTTTGATGAGGAAATGATATTTATATAACCGTAAGGTATTTTTTTACAAAACACTTATGAAAGAGAAGAAAGGCTAAAGGAGAATAAAGAGCATGAAAACTAAATGCCATGTGTGATCTGAATCTGGACATTAATGGTTCAGAATAATACCACTGAAGCAATTTATAGACAGGTACACAGAAAGATAAGGCAAATGTGGTAGAATGTCAACAACTGGGGAATCTATGAATGAAGGGTACTTTGAACTCTTCTTGGTATATTCCTGTAATTCTGAAGTAACAACAACAACAAAAAGATGTGGCTAACTAAAGCATCTACTTAAAAACTTCAAACGAACGTTTTATTTAAAGTTGTATAGCCATGGCCACTATATGCATTTTAGTAAGAAAAGAAAAGTTTGTGAATTGCTTTTATCTTAATTCATATCATTATCATGTATGAGCAAAAGCCACAGATATAGAGCAGAATAAGAAATGGCTTATAATCGCCCAATAATTTGGAGATAGTTTTAACAATCATGTTTAAGTGACTAAGATTCAACATCTCAGAATATGCTAAGGGAGGAGTTAGGGGGAACATATCTTTTAACATTCTATAGTTTTCTGAGTTTCTATTTATAGAAAATGTACTCAAAAGCTCTAGATATTAGTCCTATCAGAAAGTTTAACATGCATAAAATTCATGCCTAGTAAAATCCTTTCAAATTTATCCTTTGGAGAAAAAAATTACTATTTACATCTGTGATATAAAGAAAACCTATTGGTAATATATCAGTAATTAGCATGTTAACATTCCCTTTGAAAAAAAGTTAATATTTTTACTATGTCAGGACTTATTCAACTTGTTTAAGACATTAAACAGTATTACAGATTTAGCTATAAACTAAACAATGATTAACAGAATGATAAAGCATCAGACAATTTCTACATATAAATCTGATTAACCTCATCATAAAAGTCCAAGGGATAAACATGGTACTGTTTTATAGCACAAATTTAAAAATTAACATGCCAAACATTTACAAGGAAATTAGTAAAATTAGTATAAAATCTGGGTCCGATAAAAGCAGTTTTGCAGAAAGTTTCAATACTGCCTTCTTACCTAGCAGTACAAGGCACTCTGATGTTACCATTAAATAATGGCACTTAATACATTTTACACCCCTAAAAACGAATATGCAGTGCCACCTATGACAGAATTTATATATCGTTTCTGAATGACTAAAGTATTTTACTTAAAAGTAAAATTCAATTTCAGACCCCTGATTATCAAACCCATTATTACTTTAACTGGAAAAGAGATTCTGAAGTTCTAAAATTGAATATTAAAATCTATCCCTTCATTTAAGTTTTTTAAACACAAGGTACATGTGCTCGCTTCAGCAGGCTGAATACTAAAATTGGAACGATACAGAGAAGATTAGCATGGCCCCTGTGCAAGGATGACATACAAGTTCGTGAAGGGTTCCATATTTTAAAAAAACGAATAAATAAAAATAAAAATGAGGTATACAATTCAGGGAACTTTCAAATCATATTCGTTTTTTTTGTTAATAAAATAAGACCCAAGACTTTATAGTCAATGTCAATCAGCGCATATAAGTTCGACTTCTTCTTTAGTAAACTAAGAAATTTTGTCAAGTCAATCATCATGGAGACAAGAAATAAACCTAATAACATCCTACCGGAGGGAATAAACATGTCTGGTAAGTGTATGCAAATGAAATCTCTCATAGGCACCTTTTTTATCTGTATTTCTTCGTAGCAGTTTGTCCACTTGAGAAATGGCCTCTTCCCAGCAATTGTTGCTCGCTTGAACGTGGGGCTGAATCAACTTTAATTTCTGTTCTAGGATCTGATAAGCTTCTGACACTAGTTCTTGTGTTTCTTTAGTACAAACAAGCTTTTCAAGTTCATCTTCAAGAATTATTACCCTGAGTAATAAAAGAAAAACGGTTTTATCATATAGATTTCTAAAAATATTACATGGAAAATTTATAATTTATAAGGCTTATTTAAGAAATAAGCTTATAAGATGAAAAAAGTTTTGGAGATGGAAGGTGATGCTTGTGGTACAACAATGTCTATGTACTTAACTGCCACTTAACTGTACACTTAAAAATGGTTAAATGGTAAATTTTATGTTATGTATATTTTACCACAATTTTTAAAAAGCTTATAAACAATATCATATATTTTACTCAACAAATATTTCTTGCATACATACTAGGCATTTTATGAACTGAAAGATAAATCAAACCTATCTCCTACTAGAAGAAATTTATAACTGAATCAGGGAAATCATATATACATATAAATATAATATCATAAAAAGTTATAACTAACATTTTATTTCCATTTTACAGATGAGGAATTAAGTCCAGAGAGTTGAAGAAACTTGCCCAGAGTGATACAGTTCGTAAGCTGTAAAACTGGGTTAATCCAGGCACAAAAGGATAATATCACTGAGAGAAAAAGATAGTGTTATAAGAATTCAAAGGGGAGGAAGTTACTATCAGCAATGAGAACAGCCAAGGAAGAGGGACTTTTGAGGTAGCATTGAAGGATGGATAAAATTTGAGCATGTACAAATGATGAACAAGGTCATTCTAGATGGAAGACAGGAAAAGGCAATTTATACAGTTTGGCTGGATTGAAGGAAAAGGAGCAAGAAATAAAGACAGAAAAGCAGACTGTAGTTACGTACGGCAAACTCTTTCTACGGTTTTTATATAGACTTCAGTCTAAGCAGCTATACTCTGAAGCCAGTGAAGATTTTCAGTTAAATGAGAAAAGAAATATATGCTTCAGAAACAATCTAGCAGTGAGCATTCTGGAGGCAGGAAGAACAGCTAAAAGGTTGATGCCTTAGTGTAGGCAAGTGAGAATGAGACAGAAGAGTGAAACACAAAACAAGTTTTTAGATAACACTTTTAAAAGTTGTGTGTAGCTATAGAGCAAATCAGATATGATGGTTACTGACTGGTACACTCTTCAGTTAAAATATTTTGAAAGGTGATGTTTAGTATAATTCATTTTCAAACAGGAAACATACTTCCCATCATAATCCACAAGTCCAGGCACAAAGATCCTCTTTCATTTTGCTGTCCATCCAGTGTAGCACTCTTCCCTCCCTGAGTCATCTTCCCTCATTCTAATGTATGCCATTATGCTCCGTATGTGTCTGATTTTCTTGCCAAAAGTTAATTATTCAGAGACTCTAGCTTTGCCTAATGAACCTTTCCACTGAAATCTGGTTTTCCTCTATGATGTTGCCATCCACTTAAGTAGAGACTACCTTACCTCCCATGTTCCCTGTGGGAGACAGGGCTCAGTGAGGTTAGCACTCACCTGCTTTCTTAGAATAGCAGCTACAGACCACTAGAACATCCCTGCCTCATAGTTTTTTAACTTTTTCACTATGCCCTAACCTTTACATCTGCCTAACACACCTATGTCAGATCTTGAACTGATGGGTAAAAATTTATCTTCTCAAAATGTCTTTATGACCTTAATTTCCTATCTTTGTACATCACATCCTTCTTGACTCCAGTAAGCCAGCCTTTTGATTCTTCTGAGACTTTTCAAGAACTTCTGACCCATTTTTTATCTTACAAAGTTGACAGCTGCCCTCCCACTTCTCTTTCTTGCCTGGTAGCCAGGGTCAAGTACACAAACTATAATCTTATCATCTCATTAAATTCCTATGACCTTCCTGATTACCAACACAACATGAACCCAGCCATTCATTTGATCCAATACTACATAATAAGTATCTGTTACAGGAAAATTTTGCTGGAATAACTGGAACTTACATTTTACCAAGGCAAAGTACCAACAATATCATGCAAAGTATAAGATCAACAAATATAAACTATGGACCCTACATCTTACTATTCAACCGGGGCCAACAAGCTTGCCCTATGTTACAAAAAAAGGCCCAATTTGCTGTAATCTATTTAGAAAAATAGCAATATGCTATTATTCAATTACATATAATACTATCTCTTATAATTTCCTGTTCCAGTGCTGGCAGATATTTCTCTTAGATTGCAGGTTCCAGTTTAACAGCCCTACTTAAAGAGAGTTAGAACAAGATCATTCCTCGTAAACTTCTCCACTGCAGCTCTCAAATAAACATCTGCTTTTGTACTATCTTCCTAGGTTTTGTTGAATTCAGGAAAAGAAAAAACTATAAATGACTCCCCCAAATGATAGTACCTACAAATCAGTGTTTCTCTGCTACATTTGTAGCTATAAACCATCCTTTGTGCTGCATGTCTCAATTTTGCTTCTTCTTTCTAGCTAGGACACAAGCCAACAATCACAATGGCACAAAAATGAAGCCTGCTAATCACAGGGACATTTCCTTATATGGCTTCTAAACTTACTCATTCAGTAATGCTTTCAGATGGAGCTGCAAGCTGCGTACTGCTGTGTGAACGTTATTCAGTTCTCTTGACTTCTGTTGAGTTTTGGATAAACGCTGGGGTACTGACTGGTGCTGAGTTTCAAAGTACCGATAGAACTCATAGCTGCGCTTAAGCTCTTCCAAGCAGGCAGAATGAGCATGAGGTAGACCCTGAGTCACATCAGATACAATACGATGAGGCAAAAGTGCTGGAGTAAGTAAGGGTCCAGGAGGTGCATTAGCTGTAGAAAGTAATAGGGCGAACCGTCTGAAGAACTCTGAACTCTGTGCCACCCAGAGTTGGAACAAAACCTAAAAAAAAAAAAAAAAAAGATTAGATCAATAAAAAATATTAGCTGACATTCAAAACAAAGTACATATTTAACTTTTGTTTTATTTTTTCTCTTTGCTGCCTATACTTAAGCAGAAAATACAATTCAAGATTTAACAAGCTTTTAAAAACAATATATCAAAATCATAAGGAAACAGGGAAATCACTGAGATAGCCTGATAACAAAAAATAATTTTAAAAGGGAATGAAAAAATATAACCATAATTCTTTCTCCAAATCCTTCTTAAAGAATAATAGCTATTACCACTTTTGGTACCCATTATACAACAAGCCCTCCAGTAGGTATTTTGTCTGTCTTCTCATCTAATCTAACACCTTTTAGGACAGGTATGGTAACACTTTTTAACATATGAGGTTTTAAGTTCAAAGAAGGTCAAATGGCTAATCAGTGTCAGGGCTAAAATATAAGCCTAGCTCTGCTTGGTTCCAAAGTCCCTGCTTATTCTTCATTAAGAATATCTCCCAAATTGTCCTTTGAAAATAACTTTCCATTATACAGTAAAGTATGGTCATGGTATTAAATTTGGAAGTAAATGGAATTATTTCTCTAAAGTGCTACAAGTAGCTATTGGTATCTTAGTATGCTCTCCCAGAAACAGAGTTGTGGCCATACTGTATCTGCATTTACATATCCTGGTTGTTTCACTGGTTTTAACAGACATTTTTCCAAATTTTTATAAAATCTTCATAAGCAAGTTGTAGCTGCTACACAATGGTTCACCACGTGGATTTACCATAATTCATAAATCATAATTCATGCAACCATTCCTTTATTGCTGTATATTTAGGCTGTGTTCCATTTTCACTATGATAAAGCTAAAAAGCAACCTGGTACATAAAGCTTTACTATCTTTGGAATCATTTCCTTAAGAAAGATTTGCAGAAGCAGAATTACCGATTCAAAGCGTGTATCATTTTTAAGGTTCTGTGTGTGTCAAACTGCATTCCGAAACACCTTTAGGGAACTAAGGAAACCTGTAAGAAAACCTGCAGCAGCTTGGGTAAGAGATGATGGCGGCTCGGACTTGGAATGGTGGGAAGGGACATGGGAAAAAGTAGATGAGTTTAAACTATATTTTGAAGTTACAACTGCTATAAAAATCTGACAGACTGGATTTGAGGGGTAAAAAGATGGGTAAGATGGATGGTGCCTAGGTTTCTTCTAGTTTAATAAGTTGTGTGGTGCCATTTACTGAGATGGGTTAGAATGAGGATAAGAATAAGTGAAAGCAAATTTCAAGTAACAGTAAGGAAAAAGTAACAGGAAATTTAAACATTTACATGGATCTGAAAATTTTAAAGATATAGAAATTTATAGTCTCAAAACAAAATGGAACTTGATAAATATGCTGCCAACTACACTCATACTAATTTTCACGGTATCAAGTGAAGTTTTAAAGACTAGAAACAAAGAAATATCAGTTTGCTAAATAAATACTGAAAAGGAATTTAAAGATGTTTGGATTGATCTCTTAAAAATACTACTGGAATCTTACTGCATACACTTTTGTAACATGCGCTAACTTATGTTTTTCCACGTTATTTTTTTCCTACTACTAACTCCAAAATGGTTCATCGAATGAATGTACCACAAATCATAGCAATCTCATATTACTGAACTGAAATAATTTGTCTCCAATATTTGCTGCCATAGTAATATCATGAGCGTACTTTGAGTATATCTTTGGTTACTTCCTGAGACGGATCTGCAAGCTTAAAATTGCTGGAGTAAAAGGTACACGCCTTTGTGAATATTGGTATTCACTGCTCAAGTGAAGCAGTTTATATTTTTATAGCTGGTGTGAATAATGAATAATATCAACTTTCAATACCCTTGGCAAAATGTTTACTTATTATTTTCATCTGCATTTCTTTCATTACTAATAAAATGGAAAGTTTTATATTTATTGGCCATTTCTATTTCTTGTTTTGTGAACTAGCAGTTCACACACCTGACCTATCTTCTCCAGGTTTCACACACCTGACCTATCTTCTATAGGTTTTACATACCTTAGTGCTCTTTATATAGAAAGAATTCAAGCCCTTTGTTGTCAATCACTGCATTTTTATCTGAGCCTGTTTACATTTAAAGTACATAGCATTTGAAGTTTAGAAGTTTAATTCTTATGTGCTCAAATATATCCTTTTATATGGCTTTTCATACATGAAAAAAATTCTTGTCCTAAACAAGAATTTTAGAAATTTTCCAAGGGAAGATGCAGATCTTTTAAGTTCCTTACTCATGTTTATTGAAACAAATGTCTAGTAAATAAAATGACTCACTTTGGTTTCCTATTAAAGTAAACTCATTTATCTCCAAACTCTAATTTAAGACAAGAAATACTTATGGTAAGAATTTTAAATATTTCGATATCAAACTATAAAGATCTTCTATCCAGTCTTCATGATGCTCTCCGCTTTTAAAGGCACAGCATCAGAAAAGCTATTACAATAACGGTATTCAGTAAACAATGAAAGGGAAGAGGTGCACCATTTGTGGTCAGAAAGCACAAGCACGACCCAAATACACCTGTCTTTTCTTCTGCCCTACCTTCCCTTCCACAAATGGATTACCTTCAATGCAGGCAGGCTGAAGCCGTCTGTAAGGTTATGTGCTTCTTCTTCTGAAATCTGCTCTTCACTAAGTCCAAGACCCAGCTCCTTAAAAGGCACCACACAGATGTAGTTGGTTATATTGTCACTCTCAGAGTTCAGGGGGTAGGTTAAATTAGGTTAAGGCAATCAACAAAGCCTTTTCATTAAAGCATATGCTCAATAACTAGTCACCAAATGAATAACTATACTTGACGTTCACATGCCACACTGTCGCGTCTCTATTTTTTCCCATTATCTATACTTCCATCTACTTGGAATGCAGACTCTTATATCCTTAGGCCAACTCCTTCCTACTCATTCCTTAAGGGTCAACTCAGGTGCCTTCTCTGAATGCACAGGCCAAATACTCTGTCCTGCTATGTTAGAAGGCACAACTATATTATGAACTAACTATATTATGAACACCAGCTTATCTATTGACTATATTAAAAAGTCTTTAATAAGTAAATAGTACAAGTTTTTACTCTGTCTTCATAGCCCATAACAGGCAGGTATTTCGGCAGTGGGGGAACTAAATGGACAAGTTCCTGACTAAAATTGAAATGCTTTCTCTCAATTTCCAAAGAGGTAGTAGAATATAGTAAATATATATAGAAAGAAAAAGTTTTATTCATAAGTCCCAGTAAGGACACCATTTTATCTCTTTCAGTTGTGTAACACTGAGTAAATCACACATAAAATGGAGATTGTATGTAGTCTTCTCATAAAGTGGAGATAAGAAAATTTATCTGGAAAAGTTTGTATAAAGATATACTGATAGGCTATAAAGCGCTATAAACTTTAAGCATTATATATTATACAGTACTACAGTACCCAGCATACTGAAGGTATAGTCTTTGCATTCCATTTACTTTTAATTTATTTATGAATCTTAACTAAAATAATGATCTTATAAACCTTCATTTCCTGACTAACAGAATTTCCTGATTTAGAAAATTTAAGTGACTGACTTATTGTCAGGTAGTCTTTGACTGCTTATTATAAGCCAGATACTGTTTAAGCACCTTATATGCACTAACTCATTTGATTGCAACAAAAATATGGTCAGGAGATTATGTTATTATTGCCATTTTAAAAATAAATAAAGCAAAATACAAAGAGTTAGAAACCTGCTTAAGGTTACCGTGGCAGTAACATACAGCCAAAATTTAAATGTAGCCAATCTGACTCTAGAGACTATTTTTTTGAAAGGGGAAGGATTTCCTGTTTCCAGTTTGTTTCCACGTCATGACACAAATTTGCCACGTTCAGGAATTTAAAAAAATGTCAGACCTAGCAAAGCTAGGTTCTTTTGACTTTATTCTTTGGATCAGTAAAGGGAGGGCCTTCAAGTTTTTTCTTTGTTAAACATGAGCCACATGGGAACAGAAGAACTATCTTCCTGTCTGTTATTGTTGGCCCCCTTGGAATGCATTTCCAGTTTTAAAATAGAAGTGATAATGAAAATTAGCTTCAAAATAGGCAATCTGTTTATAGTTAACTTTTACAGGATTCAACTATAATATCTATATTCGGGACCCCCGAAACATTGCTATTCTTACATATAAAAGAAAAGGATATTTTTTCAGCATATATAGGGTCGCTAGCCTTGCTGCTTGAAAGTTGGCTCTTACAGTTCTGTAGACAGCTTTCCGAAGACCGATGAGATGCTGACTGGGATGCTGTCCAGCTTTATTAAATGAGCAAGCAGCACTGACCCTGTCAAGCAAACTTGAAAAGTAAAATGTGATACAACTGTACAGGTGTTCTAAAGTTTTTGTTCCCTAAATCCACAATTCTATTAAACTTAGAAAAAAATTCTTTTTTCATTAAAAAATTATTATAAATATCCCAACTCAGGTCTCATAAATAGCCATTTCCCTGCTACATATATAGCCACCAGAAAAAAAAGACAAATGAAAACTTAAAATCTTAAAGAGTAAAGGCTTCCTCTTATATAGGGAAACAAAGAATTTTAGTTGAAATATAGTAGAAATACAGAAATATTTATGTAAGAAATTGTAACTTTTTTATATACACTACTTGCTAGAATATACTGAACTGGTACTATACATTTAGTTTTAAAAACCTGTATCTACAGTAAATATGAAAGCCTTAATTATAAACACTTTCACATTCTTAATATCTGTTTACATATGTTCATCAATCCAATTTTTGGTTACTTGCACAGAACAATACAGAAATGCATTCTGTACATTCATAAAAAATGACTTACCCACCTGCTGCCACTGGCACTTACCTACTCAAAATGAAGTAGGGGGACGCAGAAAGATAACAGGACCAGTGGCCAACAGGGGAATGCAAGTAGAAAGGCAAAGTAAGGGTTACTATGCAGCAGCAAAGCTACTCTCAAAACTGTTCAAGAGGAAGCACATTTCATAGCACTTCCCAAAAGATAAATGGGGAACACCTATATGTAACAATGACATATAATATATTTGCTTTTATAAGTGAAGTTAATAATAATTAAATATTACATAGGTATCAGATAATAGTTTTTTTTCCCCACTTAACCAGTAACCTCTCCTAATAGCAAAATGAAATATTGGAATTTATAAATTTCTTACACTAAAACTAAAATTTTTTAAACAAGACATCTAACTCAAAACTTAAAAAATGTTAAACCAAACTAAAATATATTTAGGCATTAAAAATCTATATATAAAAAAAGAGGACAATGATTAACAGGCTTATTTTAAAATAAGGGAATGAGGTAGAGAAGGGTTAAATTATTTGCTAGAGAGGGCAAATTGCAGAAGAACAAAAGCACTCATTTTTAACACATGGCACTATTGTTTGTGATCCATTTTATTTACTAAATGAGTTTTAAAAACTAAAAATATTTCTAAAAATATCATGATTCGATTTATTATTCCTCATAATTTTTTTCAATCAATTATCCTGTTTGATGAAGACAAGTGAAGCACAATTTTCTCCAGCATTTCTTCTGCCTGTCTGCATCTGAATAGATGCCTATTCTATACATATTGGTAAAAACTGGCCAATGACAAAAGGTAGAGAATCCTCTATACACGCCTAAACATTAATTGGACACATATCCACTTTAGTTAACCAGTCAGTCCTTTCAATAAAGTCCTGTGCAATCCAAGAATGAAAAGTAGCATTTACTGACTCTTATGTTTTTTAACTTTTAAAACTTGACACTCAAACCACTTAATTTTTGCTAAACTCTATCATCAAGAAGTGGTTTTTAACTATAACGGAAAGACAAATATTAACAGACACTGAGGACTGTTCCATTTTGAACAGAGCAGAAAGAGAATAAAATCTCTTATGTCTCGGGATTGTTTAAATACTGTTCTAGAACGCAACAGAGCGAGAATGCGATGTCTACTGGAGGTTCTTCCACTTCCCTGTTTCATAATTTTCCAGATACAGCTAACTGAGAGCAATAATTATTCTTTACCATATACTTACTTTCTCCCACCTACAGATAGCAAGGTTATATGTTACATAAATTATTGAATATACGACAGTACAGCTGTCATCTGTTAGTGTTTAGCTGGCAGCCTAGTGTACTAGAAACAAGCTTTAGAGTCCGATGAAATGGACTTGAAAATTTGCTCTACCATTTATAATTGTACGCCTTTAGTTGTATGCAAAATTGCGTAGCATAGTAAATGGAACATAATTGGTGCTCAATAAATACAACTTTCCTTTTATTAATAGAATAAATAGCCTATTTAGCCTGTAGCTTAATACATTTACAATTAGACTGGTGAATATTTAATTTCCCATGGGACTGTGAAACATCATTAATTTGTATATTCTGAGAGTATCAGTGACATAATACCTAATAACATTTACCCATATTATTCTTTTTGGGGTGATAACTTTGAAAGTTATATAAATGTCTAATCACCATGTTTACACTTGAAACTAATATAATAATGTATGTCAACTGTATTAAAAAAATTTTTTAAACAAAAAATAAAGAGTATTATTAATACATGACAAGATTTTTCAAAATAAATTCATGTCAGATATATCTCTCATTTAAATCAAGGAGAGAGAGCATCTGACGGAATAAAGGGAACAAAAGCATTTATTGGGTAACTTTGCATGCTAGGTTCAATGTTATTCTCTTTACATATATTATCTCATATAATCACATGGTAACAGAAATATCTCAAAACACTATGGTTTCTCAAAGTAGATAAACAGAATCATACTACATATTAAATCTAGCATATAATGTATATATTTCTTCAATTAGCAGTTAATAAACTTTAGTATGTGGTAAACAGAAGCTTACTTTTTTCTGTAAATGCAACACAGAAAAATAAGTAATAAATATCTAATTAAACTATGTAGCTGAAAAGAACTATTTAAAAACAAAATGAAAAATGAACTCACAGTGTAAATCCTCTGGAAATGACTTCAGTTTCTTGTATGAGACGTAAAGCTTTTCTCACAAGGTTAGTAAAAGCTCGGCTATTTGTTGCTGTATCTTCCAAACGGACATTGTATTTTTTTAGGGTTACTTGTAGTTTGGCTGTCCTCCATAATCTCAAAGCTCTTATGATCAGATAAACAAATAGAATCACTCCCCATACCAGCCAGGAAGATAAAATCCACCGAGTGGGAAGCATAATGAGCAAACTAATGAAGGCAAATAGCATTGAGACATCCCTATAACAGAGAAACCAAGAAAATGATATCCATAAGATTAGAGAAAGATGAGTTACTTTAATCAGTAATTTAGGTTTACTAAAATAGATAAAATGCTAGCTTCTTTGTAATATATATCTTAACAAATATATTAAAAAATTATGTGAAATAATTATAAAATATCTAGCAGACAGACAATGGTGCATAGATATTAAAATCTGAGCTAACAAGTTTAGGTAAAGAACATAAGAAATAGGTGCCTTCTCAAATAAATTTATTTTTAAGATACGGACTCTTTAACCTAAAAACAAATTAAAAACCCAATTTTACAGATTTAAAAATCTAATCTTAGGAATTTAAAAGTGAAAATACTTTAATTTTGTTAATTTTAAATATTAAAATATTTTAATATTCAAATATATTATGAATTCCTTTTCCCTAAAATCGGACTTTAATTATTTGAACAGAAACGTATATCTCAATAAAATAAAAACATTTTTCCGATTAGAAATAATATATACTTGATGAGTAACTGTTTCAAATAAAGTCATCTAATTTTAGATACCATCACGAATTTGGAATAAGCATATCTATACTGCAGATCATGATATGGACAAGCTAAGTGCTTTTAGATTGCTTTAACTGAAGTGAAAATTTAACTGAAAAATGAAATTTTTTTTTCTTAGGTCAATTACAAACCTACAGGTTAACATACATCTTTTAAGCAATGAAGGCTTTGGTGAAAATGTGTATATATAAGAAAGAGTCATATAAGGGAAAGGTATCCGAAAAACAACATCAATACCTGAAGACAGTTATAGTCAAATCACACAGAAAATCATATGTAAGAATGCTTCTTAATAAATATTTGCCTGCCCTAATTTCCCTTGGAGTCTTTTACTTTTAAACAATTCTAGTAATATCATAAAGCGAAATCTCATCAAATACTTATATGCTTAATCACCTTTGTGGCTAAAAACCTGAAAGTTGTAAAATTCTTAAAACCTATGGTTCCTTCTAGTAGCTCTTTAAGTTCTTATATTTTTAAAGGATAAGATGCTTTACTTCATCACGATGATGTGTGAGTGATACAGATTTGGAAAACATCATACTTCGCTGTCTGTTACAATATGAAGCAGTTGTCAGTGCGACAGGAAAGACAGGTGAATTCAGAACACTGGGGGCAATGAATGTAATTGCCTATATAACTTGAACAGTTTGAGCAATGACTTAGCTTATTTAATAAACTCACACTTTAACAGGTAGAGGACATTAACAGTTCTGTATATATAATTCCTTCTTACTATTCTTTTTTTTTTTTAACCCATTATGGCCTGTGACTTCATTAGACCCAAATATTTGAAGTGGTCAAAAAGTTTTAGGACAGTCTGAATCATCAGACTATGTTCCCTATGATCTCTTCTTAGCCAACAAACCAAGAGGTGACTGTTTACCTCCATGTCCCATCCTACCCTTGTTGTCTCTACAATGTGATTATGATATAATCTATCGATTGCAAAAAAAACCCATGAAGAACTGCCTAGGCCTGCATTCACACAAGTACAAAGGTATATGGCTAAGGGATTCTTTTTGGTACATGTTACACCTGTTTGTTGGGCTGTTAAACACAGAACTAATTATACTTAGTTGAAAGTACATAAAAATTGTATTGAAATTTTTTCCCAGCTTCGCTTTAAATAGTATTTACTTTAGAAAGGCACTTTTTTTTTTTAAACCTCTAGTATATCATTACATTAATTACAATGCAAAATGTGTGGAATGTTTACAATGCCTTTATAAAGCATTGTAACGTTAGATTTCACAGCGTGACATTAGATTTCCTCTGCTATTACTCTGTATGTAAGCAAAGGATAGATGTTTTCTGGACAGTACCAAATGTTAGGGGTTGCCAGGGAGCGAAGTGTTGGAAGGTGTCCATTTTCCTGTTGTTGAGGTTGCCCTGCAGACAGGATACTGGGATCAAGCAGCTCAATCAGTTCCACATCCTCTTGTAACAGGACTTCCTGTTGCAGGATGGTGTGTAGTGAGTCGAGTCGGAATCCAATATCCTTGCCATTAAAAGACCGGAAGAGAGGTATTAATACATACATTATTTTGTATTAAATGGCAAACTCTTAATGTGCTAATAAAATTTAGAAGTGTTTATTTTCAGTATAGACTCTTAAAAAGAAGAAACAACAGTCCAATCTATCTTCAGTATGATGTATGGGGTTTTCACTGTAAATGTGAGACAATAAAGAATGAGGTGGACATTACTGAGCCACCAGATATGAAATATAAATGTTTAATAAAGAGATTTGAAGTAATTATAGATTAATAAGCCTGCCTAGTTAAGCCCAATTAAATTAAATTAACTAAATTGCTGGAACACAACATGGAAAATATAATCCTATATCATAAGATGCTGTACCTGGATACTGTAACAATATAGCTAATATTTAAGGATTATGTCAGTGGGGTCAAGGCCTTCTAAAAATGGACATTCAGATATTAAAAATACATCATTAAGGAATGTAATGCAAAACCATACTAACATGTGCACAGCATTTATAGTTTACAAAATGCTTTCACGTATACCAGCTCATTTATTCCTCCTTCCTTTCCTTCTATCTATCAAGAAATATATATATACGCCAGACACCATGTTTGACACCAGGGACGCAAAGAAAATGAATCAAGACATACAAGTCTCTACTCTTGAAGAATTCAGTTTAATGAAGAGCAATTCAAAGTAAACGGTTAACAACACAATGTGGAAAGAAGTACAATGAGGCATACCTAGGGTATTATGAAAATGACATAGAGGGACCAAAACTTGCAACGAAGTCAGAAAAAGTGAAAGAGGTGGTGCCTGAGCTGAGTCTTAAAGTATGAACAAGAACTGACTAGATGAAAGAGTTGGAAGAGTGGGATGAAACAGAATAAAAGCTTCTCTAAAACTGCAAGTCATCGATATCAGTTTGAGCAGCGTGTATACGGTAGAGGTGAGAGATGAAGTAACCATGTTCGAGCAGACAGGTTAATTCTCACAGAATCCCTGTCACGTATCTTTATCCTCATCTTCATTCTAGAGTCGAAAACTGAAGCCAAAAGAGATTAAATAACTTTCCAGAATTCTGATTTCAAATCCTAAGTCTTTGGTAGTCGATTTTGCTTTCCTGTATATAGTCTGCTCTATCAGAAAATTTACACTTTTCTTTTGTATTAAATTTAAGAACAGAGTAACCGAATTGTAAGATAAAAAATAAAGGGAACTTTTTAAGGACAAGGCCTTTATCAATTAAAGTAAAAGTTAGGTGTAGGGTTGGAAAGCAGTGGGTTTGCTCTTCTTAGTCAGGTAAACACTCCTGTACTGCAGAGTCCAGCCCTAGGTGATCAAA